AAATAACTACTAACGAAAGATTTTTGATAGGACCTTCTGATAAGAACAAGAAAATTATATAAACTTAAACCTCTTGAAATGATTCGCAGCTTTTGAAATAAAATCGAAAATTACAATCTGTACAGTCTATTGCCGATTTAAAAGAAAAGAAAAGTAACTATCAAAGAAAAGATCTTTGATAGAAGCGCTCTGTAATAAACAAAGAGTCTTTAAAAGGAACACAATCTTTACTAGATAAGAAAACCGTACAATGTACGGTGTACTGCAACGTGCAAACAGGACAAGGATAAATCTTTGAAAAAAACATCGTCGTGCGTGAATTTCTCGGGGGAAAATTCACAAAACTACAGCCTGCAATCCGCAGAAATCCACTTCCAATTTCCAGGCAAAGAAAGGAACAAAGGAACGGAAAAACAGCTAGCACAGGACAGGAAAAACAGGCGGGGAGACACGAAGGTTGGTGAAAAGTCGCGCGAGAAAGGCGGAGGGAACGAGTGGAACAGCAGTAAGATCTAAATTGGAGGGGCAGGTAAGAAGGCGAAGTGTTCTTCGAAACGAGCCCCGTTGTTTTGCTCGCTGTTAACCCTTCGGATTATGCCGGATGTGTATCTTCCCTCCCTCACGTACATACGTATGTACATGCATCCAGCAAGCCTGGCACGTAGCGAGTCGAAGGTTCGCGTGTGTGGCGCCATCACTCAAAAACGTGTGCTCACTTCTGACAAGTAAGATAGCCAAATCAAACTGCAATCACTTTATAACGCGTATAAATTGATTTCTAGAAGCTTGACGCGTTTCGTGTATTAACTGTGTATTAATTAATTCTGATTCTTTGATTTACAAATTAAATCTGACTGTTTAATTTACAAACTATTCTGTATATAGTATTGGCAAACTGTTAGTAAACTATTCTGTATATATAATCTATTGTAACTAAGTTTATTTATGAGTTAATAATTTATTTACTATATTCTTTAATTTATGAATTATTTAGATGAAAAAGTTTCTCTCACTCATATTTCCTGATTATTATTATTAATAATAACTGTAAATTAAATGATATATCAATTAATATCAATATTCTATTTATAGTGTTACTGCTACGCTTTCTAACAGACAATTCACATTTATTGTCTGGAGAGTCCATAAAAAGTCCATTGATTTTAATCGCCAGTTCATCACTAATCTGTGTAGTTTGGTAAAGTGTCGACCAAAGTGTCCGAATATTAACGAATGCTACTGTACATCCGCTCTTCTACTCCTGCGATTTTACTTTGACAAAATGGACGGTAACGCGGTTAACACCCCTTTAACGCGTCCGAAAAACTGAGCTGCCGGGGCAATTATCGTAACGAGGTTGGTTCGGTCTGGGACGAATAGCGAAACGAGACAAGCTGTTGTCTGAGTCAGCTCCGCGTTTGGAACTCTTGAGTCTTGGTATTTCTCGATGAAGAAAGGACAGGGACGAGGAAGAAGCTGACACGGCTTCTCGTTCGGTTTGGAAATTCAGATTTAATGGCTCGTCGAGCCATAGCCGGGGCAGGAAGATCTCGTGATTTTTTTTTTTGCGACGGATGAGAAGATGATATCAGGCGTGACGCGTGAGTAAATAGAACCTGGTGGTGTTTCGGTTGATCGGTTCATCGATTCATCGGCCGGTGTATCCCGTAACAGGGGGATTATCCTCGCACATTACGCAAATTCCGAGGGTCTCAGAGGGAATATCAATGCCGCCCTAGCGTACTCTTCAAGCAAGCTCAAACAATCAAATATTGGCTCGGTGGGTGTACCGCGATTGCCGCTGGAACACCGCCGATACAATTCAAATAGTCTAAGTTACAAGGGACGGTTAATCGATCGTCCTAATGTTGCCTCGCATCTTGCGGCCCGTTCACCTGTCAAGAAACTCGTTAACGCTGCGATTAAATTACCCAAATTGCGCCGCTACGCTCGAGCAAATCCGACAGTTATTACAATCACATAACCCGACCTACAAAACATCGAGCTGTTATATTTATTTCGTTCGCGGAGAGACTTATTGTCCCTCCAAGGATCTAAATTCCTTAATTCCGCTGCCAGGCAGATATGATTCAAACGATTCGAACTGGCTGCAACGACTCCTGGTTGCCAAATAAATAACCAGGAGCGATCGAATTGATGGCATTTCGGTCAGCGATTCCCGTCCTCAGCTTGATAAAACTTGGCGTTAAAACGAAGACGCAAACCGGGAGTCACATTATCGTTGTATGTACGTCATATTTCTTCGATATACATATATAGTGTTCGGTAATCTGAAAGAAGTATGGCGTCGTGCGAAACTTTCAGACCGTATTATTTTACGCATTGTTACGTTCTGTCGTAGATACTATCTTCCGCCGTAGATATCGAAATTAGAGCTCCGTCGATTTCAATTTACGAGCTAAGAAAATCAGAGAATAAACTAATGTGAGGGTCGCGGCACCTAATTAAGGCAATAAAGTAATTGTGAAAATTACTCTGAATTATGGGACGACCGAGAAGGCTATAAAAATAGTTAACACTCAGCGAATCATCTTCACCGTAAATTCCCAAAGAAATGTCTTTGTCTCCTCGCGTCCAAGCAATAATCGCCAGTGCTGGTGATTGAACGTGCTATTACTCAAGTACTCCATGTTTTCAATCTGTGCAAAATGTTTTACAAAGAAGAACATTCCTTCTTCGAAGAAATGGCGTCGCCACGTTCTTATTGAACACACTGTATGTTTTGCAGATTAGCATCCATTAATGATACATACCAGCGAGGTAAACGGTGTAAGGGTTTGCACGTATAATGCACAACGCGCGACGAACTATGATGCAGTAAGTGCCTAGTGAAGGCTAATGCCGATAAATGGCCTGTTTCACCCGTGTCGTTTATCACAATCACGGGGTTAACGTCGCGATCCACGAGCGACCGACGTTCGTCAACGAGGACGAACGACAACACGCGACAGGCGTCGTGGATCGACTCTGCCGCGATGGTAATTTTTCAATTACCCCGCGCTTACCTCGCGATATCGTCTCTCCTCCTTTTTTTTTCCATGCACAAACCGACGGGTGGGGAGGGGGGGGGGGGGGGGGGGGGGGGGAAGGAGAGGATAGGAGAGGGCGCAGAGTACGCGTCGTATCGATTTCAGATTCCAATTTAATGGCGTCGCGGTATCCGAACCACGATCTTCCAATACCAATTTCGCGTTATCGGCCTCCGTTCGACAACGACGACGATGGCTTCCGTCTTGCGACTGCCAGACGCGGCTCGCGCGATCTTCGAACCGTGACTCTGCTCGCGACTCCGATGCCCATAGAACGCGATTCTACTCCCAATCTGGGGAATCCTCGATTCGACTCGAGGTTCGTGAGATTTTTGGACGATTCGGACGGTTTGGATGTCGCTGTGTTTCGGCTATTGGGATTTTCCGCGTGATTCCGTGCGTCGAGATTCAGGGCAGACGTCGCTGTTGCGCAAGTATGCGCGTGAAAGCCATTTTTCACAATCGATCGTGGGAGTTCCATTTTTCACTGGACTGGTCTCGACTCTTTTTTGAATATTCTGTTCTGTAAACTTCGCTCGAACATTGTAGACGGCACTCATAGCCAAGTTCAACGAGGCGACCGCCGCGATTGCAGAGTGATTAAACAGAGATTTAAGAGAATGAAGGAAGATCGTGAATGAAGCTTAGAGTTCTGTAAATGGTTGTACCTGTAATTTCGTCGAATTCAGAGGTTCAAACAATCAAGTGCCGAGTGTAACGATAAAATAAATATTTGACTTAATATACGGTTAGACTCAATTAAGCTGAACTAGATGAATTATATACGATGTCTATTCAATCCTTGTGCGATTCTACACTGCTTTCCTCCACTCGACAATCAAATGCACACAGTCTATTCCACTCGACGATTAAATCCCTATTCACACTTCTTCCCTTTGTCTCTTGCATTTATATTCTTAATATTATGCAGTATTATTTTTAAAATTATCATAGCAAAATATTGTACAACATCTGTCTATGTTTGAGCCTATATTAAGGTCATAAACTTGACATTTTTACAATTTTAATACATTAAAAATTCCACTGGCGATTTTTTCAAATGGGGCACTTGAAATTTTTAAATTCCGAAACGTTACTCTGACCAATCGTGTTTTTCTACAACGTAAGTCTCTAAATCTCCGGATGTCACTGCAATTTTTTTTAAATTTAGAAATTCTGGGCTTTATATTAGCCACGTTTAACACAAATCAAAGCTACAGTTACTGCAAATAAATTTCTCTATTTTGTTTCTTGCGTGTTGCGTTACATTGCTGTATGATATAGAGAAGCTGAAAAATTGACTGTAGATATAAAATATTTCATCGACTAATGAACTGAAAATTTACCGATTGAAACGTTTCAAAAAGATGTCTCCGACGTTGTTAACGATTTTAATAGATTTTAATAGATTCTGTATATGCGAAAGTAGACTGCGACAGAGTTCAGAAAAATCTGTAGTCTATTGATTATTGTGATAGTCGTGAATTTTTATTCATTCACTATGAATAATATAGGAGGCCAAAGAATTGGCTGCAGATTAAATATTTCACGACGAACTGAAATTTACTGAAATTAAATTGAAATGCAGATCGTCGGCGTTGTTGACGAAAGGTTTTAATAAACCCTGCGTACCCTAAAGACCTTAATTTGTAGAGAAATATTAATCAGTATACTACGACTAACTTTAGTTACAACGATTAAAGTTATAACGATTAACGACGAAGTTTAAAATCTGTAGTCTATCGATTATAGTCGCAATTTTAACTAACAATTTTAAACGAGTAAGTCTTCACAAAAGCTTCGCGAGAAACGAATACACTGTAGAATATTGCGTAGAATGTCTGCAATATCTTCTATAATTATAATTAAAGCAAATCGAAGCCACAGTTACTGCAAGTAAACTTCGTGACGATAATAAATTTCTCTGTTTCGTTTCTTCGTGTGTTGCAGTTCCGCCGCACAAAATCGTGATCGTCGACGACTCCAATATCGCACGGCACTCCATGGTGGGCCCGTACGTGGAAAACGAAACTCTGCGGCTCTACTGCGACGTGTACGGCGGTGAGTACGACGTGTAACGTCACATTCGGAGCGTGGCCCTCGGGAGTAGCAATTCCAAAAACCAGCGCCGCGGCTTTCGCGGATCGTCGAGAGGAATTTACGCTCGTGACGTAATGGCGTTCGTGCGCGCGACAGTGAACGCCTGGCCACTGGTCTAGAAATTCATTATCTCATCGCTATTTATACGTGCCATCCTTCAAACGGGCAAACAGACACAATGCACAGCGCCAATGGGTCTTTCAACCCATCTGCCACACAGAAGTTTAAGAGACAATCGAGACGAATTTCATTTGAAATTTTAATTGTTCCTAAATGTAAAAATAGAAGCGTTCGTAAGCAAAGTGGACGATCGTGTCTAACGAGGTAATTTCAGCGCTGCTCCTTAAAAGGAGGGATTAAATCTAAGAAACAGACCGCCGCCGGGCGCATGCTGTTTAATTGAGAATAATTAATACTGTCGCAAGGCCGTTTCTTCTTTGACAACGTTCCTTTCAAATACGCTTGGTAATTCCTTCCCTTCGGCCAGAACGATTCTAAACGATCGCCCTGTTTGCTCGAGCTACCGAAGAACTTTTGAATTTTAAATTCTTCAAGAGGGCCACGAACGAAGATGTCCAAGGCAAGGTAGATGGTCTGAGACTTTCGCACGGTATTAAACATTTTCCGAATCGAGAAAAGAATCGTCGGTGTAATTGAAGAGGTCGCGAAAGTACGCTCTAGCGAAGCAAATTAACTTGATAATAGTATTTAGCTGTGCAAAGCTTGGTAAATGTAGCTATAATCTCGAGAGATTCGAAGATCCAAGTATCGAGAAACCGTGTGTAACCGCGATAATATCATTTTCACGCGTGGGCGCTGTAAACAGGCATTAAACACGATTTACAAACAACCATAAAATAACCGGGACTTATCCGTGAAGAATCGATAGTTGTCGTCGCGGCAATTCATCTCGATCACTTTAAATTTCGCGACATTGCGCCACTCTATTCGGTAATGTAAACGATTTTTCTGAATTTCTTCGCCGTCTGATATAATAATAAAACGAACAGTTCTAGTCTGTATGCATCACAGACGAGGTTGTCGGATAAATGTATGTAATTCGTTCAGGCAGTAAGCAAAAAAAAAAAAAAAAAGAAAAACGTCATATCTAGTCATGTTATTCGTAAAAATAACATATTTCAGTCAATTATTTCCAATACTTTTAAACAGATGTGAAATTGTTCATTCAAATTCCCATCAATCACTGTTTCAAATCGTTAGACTCTTTCATCGACGATTAACAATCATCTCAACTCCAAAACAGAACTGGCAACACTGTCCATATTTTTTGATTTTAATTCTCGTCACTAGTAGCGCTGCAGTGCGAAACCTGCCTGAATCGGTAACAACAGAATATGACACGAAAATGGTGAAGGGCCTCGTAGAACCCCCTGGGAAATCGTTGGCCACAAAAATACATCGTATTTGGTCTGTTCGTCTGTGTCTGTGCATTCTCGTCCGACGGAGGGGAATTGTCAATAAAGGAAAGTCCCGGAAATAAAGGAGAAATTTATCGGCACGCATCAAAGCGTTACCGACCGAGCGACAATTCTCGGTTGCGAGCGAGCGGTGAAAAAAATTCAAGAAATAGTTTGAAAATTGCGTGAAAAAGAAAAAAGGAAACAGAAGAACGTGATGCGTTTTGTCCACAGGTAAGCCAGCGCCGACGGTGTCCTGGCACCGCGACGACAAGCTCGTCAGCAACAAAACCGTAACCGTGAGGAACGGCGTGACGCGCAACGAGCTCGTTATAAAAAATTTAGGACGGAACGACGTCCGCTCGATGCTAACCTGCAACGCAACGAATAACAATAGGTCCATCCCGCTCTCCTCCACCGTTTACGTCGACATGAATTGTAAGTATCGTCCCGCAGTCTCGCTGCGATAAAAACTCCGAACGGCTCGGGCCTTTGTTCGGAACTATCGTCAACTGGGGAAACGTCGGATAATAGTCGCAGATATACCAGCTCGTCCCGCGTGATTTTTACACGGTTGACGAGCTGGCCGAGGCTAGCGTGTAAAGACGATGTACGGCGAGAAGCGTAACTGGACACGTAACGACGGAAAATTGTCGATACTTTAAACTTACAGTTAGTTAGAACTTCGTCAAGGAAAATAACGTAAGACTACTTGGTCTCGTTTAGTTAAAGCGTAAAGCTTTCACTTTGACCGTCTCAAGCTCGTTTCTTCCAAAGATATTTCTACATCGGGAGTATTTTTATTCTTAAAGATTGTAGAAACATTGGAAAGTATTTTTCGCAACTTGATTCACCATGATTTTAAAAGTTGAAACATTCCCTTTACAACGGTCCCTTGAAACTTTCTGTTTTCGATTTTCTTTTTCTTTTTTTTTTTCTTTTTTTGTTAAACATTAAGATTAAACGACGAAATGTTTGAAACGAAATTTCTTGAATTTTTTTTGTTTTAACTCTAATGTTCAAAGTTCAATAAAATGATGAAGAAAGATCGTACAGCAAGTTTTGAGAAGCTGTCGTAAATGGAAAACTTTAATCCTCAGCATCGTTATGGATTTAGTCGTAAATTTTTCAGTGTTTTTATACACGTGCGAATTTTTACAATTTTTGCTTAAGAAAAGAACACTTTTCCATTTGCTACATGGTATTAAAATATCTTGGAAAAAAGAAAACGAATTCAGAGTGAAAGCACTTTTAAAATGATGCTAATTGTAAGTAGATTGTTATCTTCAACGAAGATAATTATCTTTAACGAGGTTATAACAGTTTAAAGTATCAACAATTTCTCATTTAAATTAATCGTGATGCAACACCAACTCCACGAAAGTAATGTATATATGAAATGTAGTAATGGTAACAAGATCATAAATTTTTAAAAAGAAATTTTGCCTTTTTTTTTTGTATTCTACAGTGCAAACGCTCGATAAAATATTATTAATTTTAAAAATTCAAACACGTGTTCAATTTTGCTCATCACTGTATTAAAAAGGAGACAGTGAAAGTATTCGAAATGTGACAATATTAATGAACAGATTGCAATATAAGTTTTTGTCGTGAAAGATGAAAAAATTTTTCACAAATGTCCCAAGTTAATTAAGAACAAATGATTTTGTATATTTGAGTATGATTAATCAATAAGAGACGAAGTAATAGAAAAGAAACAAAATACCCAGTTCACGATAGTTTGTCTATTTCTCATTCACTGTCATTGTCTTTCCACAAGAAACATTTTCATTCTTCCTCGTTGATATTGTTCCTTTGCCGTAGCGGCGTAATAATATCAATTGTAATAAACAAAGGGGTAAGTCCTCCTGTAAAAACCACACGTCGTACGAACGAGTGAAAATTTTTCAACAGGTACAGACGTCGATACAGTTTGCAGGACAAAAGTAAGTTGTGAAATCTCTTGTTGCAGCGTTGCCGCGCGTCTTTTGTTATCGACAAAGCTATTGTTAATGTTTATCGCTACGGTAGAAACGGCCAATGGCCATTTTTCTAGTGGCGATTCTCGTGTCACGACGCGAAATCGAGGCCAAATGCTCTGTCGATGGGCAAGGATATCGAGTAACTGAATCTGAAGTTCAGATCTCCTCTAAATAATACCAGAAATTCGATCGAAATTCTCAGCAAAGTGAATTTCTCCTGAATTTTAAGCGTAGGAAAGATTCTTAAATTTTTCCTAAATTTCGCCGCGGAGATCTGATAAAAATATTCACCGGTCCTGCAGTCTGTCCAACGAGACAAGGTCGAGCAGACTTAAACAAGAATCGCGCTTAGGATCAACGCGTGTCTAGGATCCTCTCTCCAGAATCCCTACGAATTAGAAGCTCTGTTGTAGGAATATAGCCCTGCTGTACGAACCCACAGAACAACGGTACCAGTTTGTTCCTGAGGATCGATCGAGTGACGCTCGATGGCGGCCAATGACAGCAGCTGTCGGTATAATCGAACGTTTTGTTTGTGTGCCGTCTCGTTGGACAGGCTATAGCGCGCTTTATTACCAACTCTTGGAACCCCATAATTCCAACCCCTAAATTGAATCATCCCAGACGCGTGTCGCCGGTCTATAGGTGAAACAAAACGTATACAGGGTAGGATAGGAGAAGCTTGTTCGCTCGTCATTCAGGCCACGATCAGGCCATCCTGTCTTTTCAAACCTAAATCATCGAGGGTCAAGCTCGTAACATTGGTAACGTAACGAGAGATAATAACTATATATATACGTCAGAGATAGAGGTGAATAAGACGTTGAAGAGGGCGAGTGATCCTCGGACGTTCCTCTTGGGAATCGTCTTATATTCTTTACAGCACCGAGCCACGGTGCGTGAAGCAAGCGAAAGACAGAGAGGCGTGGCCATTACGAAGTGAATTACGCTCACGTGAGGTTTAGGTTAGCCGATATCCCTCGCTCTCAACCTTCTATCCTTCCCAACTTCGATTATCTGTACAATGATTTAAAATGTTCGCCGATAACGTTCACGGATCAGAAAGTGACCATTTCATTCTCCACTCGACGATCTTCCCCGATCCCGCTGACTCCTTCAGTTTTACCCTCTTGGAAACAAAGCGAGAACTGATAGACCGTTTATGCCGTCATATCGTCCGAGGACACTTAAGGAGGGTGATACTCGAGAATGGCTTGGTTAAAGGGGAACGATGGCCGATGATCCCCCGTCTGATCGGAGAGACAGATATTTCAGATCTCACATATTTCTTCTTTTCTTTTTCTTCTTCTTCTTCTTCTTCTTCTTCTTCTTCTTCTTCTTCTTCTTCTTTTTTCTTTTTCTTTTTCGAACGAACATGGAGCAGAATGGCCTATCCAGAACGCGATGTATTCTTCTCTCGGCGGTGAATAGGTCCTCTTCAAATTAACGCTTTGAGCCGTAAATTGGGAAACGAAGACTTTAAACTGCATCCGAGCCCCTAATTAGCGGCTAAGTGGATCCTAAACTAGGTTACCCAAAGTTTTACTTTGTACCTTCTCCTTTGTTTCTTTCTTCCTTTCTGTTTTTTTTTTTTTTTTTT